CTGGTGTGGGATCTTCTCCCACCTCTAAGGCAGCACTAAGGACCCCTTGGGGGATGTCCGCCGAGTGTTCCCAAACTTTGAGAGGGCACAGGCCAGGCTGAGGGACCCCCCCCCCCCCCCGCCCAGTGCACGAATGTCGTGCACTGAGCCTCTAGTAAAAAAATAAAAGCCTCTTAGCTCTGTTAGCCTTCATGTTTGTAAGCATAGAGGATAATTGTTAGTTTTACATATAACCAGAAAGAATTGTTTTGTATTTAGAAAGCATGAATGTTTTAAAAGGTTTAAAAAATTATAAAATTCAAATAAAACCTGTTTATTCCAAAATATAAGTGAAAAATTTAAAAAAATTTCATTAAATATATAAAAAGCTCACATGCTGATTTTATCAATCATTAAATGTATGTATAGCTTAACATTCATTATAGACTAACATAACGTATGGGTTAGATTTTTCTCATTTTACATTAATTCCCTGATATGCATGAAGATGGTTAAAAAAATCTAAAAAGTAGCAAATAAAATAGCTCCTTTTAGCTAAATAATTTCAGTAGAAAAATGATAAAAATCATGGCAAATCATTTAGAGCATGAAATTACATATAATATGCAGTGTCATAAAATGATTATAAGATGTTATGCATGGCCTCTTGCAGCTAAAAGTCTCTCTAGCTTTCAGACCTCAGAGGAGAAAAATAACTGACCTACTTATGTTTTCGTTCCTGGCTTATGATAATACTTAAATTATGACGCCAACAAGGATTTCAAACCAGATTCAATATCAGGTTCTGCAAACTATAAATATACATATTTGGGGGGGCTTTTGGCATTAGCCTCCTTATTAATATGAATCATGCTTCAGTCATCTTACTGTATTATTGGGATGATAGTTGAGATGTAAGCCACTGTCACACAGAGGAGAGGAGGTGCCACTACTCTGGTCGCTTGGTGCACCTACAGGAAACAAAAACACAACACCCCACTGGTCAGAAGGCCAAAGTGCTCTAGACCGGTGGTCGGCAAGCTCATTAGTCAACAGAGCCAAATATCAACAGTACAATGACTGAAATTTCTTTTGAGAGCCAAATTTTTAAACTTAAACTATATAGGTAGGTACATTGTTATTAACTTAATTAGGGTACTCCTAAGCTGGCCTTTGCTAAAAATGCCCTCAATCTGAGGGGTTGACCTCAGAGAACGTACCCCCACTTCTTCTAACGCCACTTCTTCAAAATAGACTCGCCCAGGCCGAAAACCGACTTCTGCACATGGGCCACGAAGTTTCAATCACACTGTACGTGCGCGCCGCACGTGGTATTGTGTGGAAGAGCCACACTCACGGGGCCAAAGAGCCGCATGTGGTTCGCAAGCCGCGGTTTGCCGACCTCTGCTCTAGACGAATGCATGCTACGCTGTTATATTTTATTTTATTTTTTAATATATTTTATTGATTTTTTTTTACAGAGAGGAAGGGAGAGGGATAGAGAGCTAGGAACATGGATGAGAGAGAAACATAGATCAGCTGCCTCCTGCACAACCTCCCCTGGGGATGTGCCCGCAACCAGGGTACATGCCCTTGACTGGAATCGAACCTGGGACCCTTAAGTCCGCAGTCTGCCGCTTTATCAGCTGCGACAAACCGGTCAGGGCTACACTGTTATATTTTATTATGCTCAATTATATCAATCAAATCAGGTAGTAACATAAATTTCTATTTCACTTATATCAAAGTCAGAGTTTTCCAAGTTAACCCATTGACTGAAGTTATCAGGGCACTAAAAGAGGCCTGCGAATATTGATCTTTGATTTCAGAAAAGGGAAGGCTTTATTAAGGAAAATAAACAAACTTATAAAAGTAGTATATAATTTTATTTTTTTCTTTCTTGATTAAGGTATTACATATGTGTCCTTATTCCCCCATTGCTCCCCCCCCAACCCCCCACCCCTACTCTCCAAAGTGAACTATATTTATTATACTTAATAGTGCAGGGTTTTGTTTGTCATCAAAGTTCTATATAATGTCCTGTTTCAGCCTCCTGGAAAATCCTACCTTTAGATGCAAAAAAGGTTTTCTGAGTCCTGTTTTTACAAGATCTCTTAGTAAACACTATACTTGGAAGTACCCTTATTGCCACTATCTACTTTTGCAAAACTGCAACAAAAAAATGAGACCAATTAATATCTATTTTTTAAAGATGAGCTATTGTTGTTCTAAATATTTTTCATTTTTCAAGATTTCACAATTTGGTAATTTTTAAAATTAGGACTAGAAACATATTTCTTGATTTCTATTTCATTTAAGCGTTTCTAAAGATAATATGCTTTCTGGAATGGCTAATGTTGACAAACATGAGCTATTAATGTAATTGGCTCCCAATTTTCATTTGCAATATTATACTTAAATTTAAACATCAGGGTCAAAAGTAACACTCCTAATATATTAACTGATGTGTGAAAATGTAATGATTTTGTTCTACACTTTTATTACTCTAAAATTCTTAAGTTGGCTTGGCGCTCAGAAGGGAATCATACACTTTTTCCTATACTAGCCTGAATACGGTTATTCCGCTCTTTAAATCTTAAAGATTTCATACTTTGTTTTAGCTACTTTTCCTGTTGATGTTTATCTGTATCTCTCCTATGAGACAATATTTGTAACGCACACACATATTACTTTCAAACTTTTATCCATTTTGAATGGAATAAAATGAAATCATATCAAATTCTGTGAATTGGCAACTTAGTTTAAATAGACAAAAACCATTGGGAAAAAACCTTATCAAAACTTATAAAAGAAGAAACTTAACAATATATTAGCAAATTAAAACCAGTAATAATAATAATAATAATAATAATAAACAATACTTCATGACCATGTGGTGTTTCTCCTAGGAATATCAGCTTGATTTGGCATTCAAAATGAATTTTTTTATGCTCACCACATCAATAGAATAAAAAATATATATAATATCTCAAGGGATATAAAAAAATAAAAATAACTGAGACAGGAGCGGGATCTCCACCACCAACTCCTCTGGGGACCAAAGCAAGACAGAGACCACCGAGGGAGTCCGGAGACTATGGTGGGGCAGCAAGTCTAGCATCAGGGCCGCCCCCACCCCAGCCGCACCCCAGGCCCTGCGGCCCCAAGAGCAGCAGGAAGTGATGGCGGCGGAAGTGGCGGCCTTCCCTATGGGCCACAGGTTCCTGAGACTGGCCTTGCCCCTCACCTCTGTCCTGCACAGGGACAAGGCAGAATGGTGCTGCAGAACGATGGCCCCAAACAGTCGGGGGGGGGGGGGGGGGAAGAAAAGTCCCAAAAAGGAAATCTGCCGTCTTCTCAACATGTACTCGAATCCCTTAGCATTAACTTCTCCCCGAATGGTATATGCATCACAACTTGCAGCACCAATGATTGCAGGTAACTTTTTTGCAATGGATATAATGTAACTTGAATTTCAGCTCAGGAAGCGAGCAAGTGCTGTTAGAGAAATGGCACCGATAGACTTGTTCCACACAGGGTGACTATAAACCTCCAGTTTGTAAAAAATACAGTATCTTCAAGGCTCACTAAAGTGAAGTGCGATAAAATGAGTATGTCTGTATAATGCTACAGTAATCATCAGTGTGATTTTATTGCAAGAATAGACCTATATTAATGAAAATAAGAAAGTGGTTCCTTGATTCTTGATTGCTATTTTAGACACAGAAAAGTAATTAATATAAGATGGACTATAAAATTCAATGCTATAAGGCTGCTAGGAAAAATGTAGGTAAATATCTTTGTGGTCTCAGGTTTGGCCATTATTTTTCACAGAATATACAGACAGGAATAAGCATATACAACAAAAATGACCAAGAAAAAGAATGGTAAATTAGATTTTATCAAAATTTAAAACTGCAAACCTAAGACAACGTTAGATAAAAAAAAAATAGTTATGCACAGATGGAATGAAAATGTAACATATATAGCTGACAAAGGCTTATATACAGATTACCTGGTATATTTTTCAAACTCTTGCAGTGCAATCATAGAAAGACATAATAATAGAAAAATGGACAAAAGGCTTGAGTAGACACATTACAAAGTAAGATATGCAAATGGACAATAAGATATGCAAATGGCACATGATAAGGAGCTAATCATCATTAGTCTTCTGAGAAGTGCAAATTAAAACTATAATTAAGATACCACTACACATCAATATAATGGATAAAAATAATCTTTGACCATCAAATATTTGAATAATGTAGAGCCTCCAGAACTCTCATACACTGCTGGAGTAGAAAGTGAGAGGTCTTCAAATATATGCTTATTTTTGAAATATGTTTGATAGTTTGTTAACAAGTTAATTATACTATTCTATAACTCAGCGGCTCCATTTCTATATACTTATAATTGCAACATAAAACTGTAAAACTTCCCACACCTACACAAGAATGTTCATAGCAGTTCAATCTATAATAGCAAAATACTGGCAACAGCTCTGTTGTCTATAAACAGAATAATGCAATATCAAACTGTACTATATTCATATAATAGAACCTAATATTACGCAGCAATATAAATGAACAAACTACTGAAATATAAAACAATGATTGCACATAATGAAAGAAGCCAGACATAAAAGAGTAAATACAGTATGATTCTACTCTACCCAGTTTTAAAAGAAACAAGTATATGACGATAAATGTGAAATCAATGGTTGTTTCTGGCGATGTTATTTACTGGGAAGAGGCACGGAGGAGCCATTCTGTGATTTTACAGGATGTGGAGTAAGCAAATGTGTATTTGCTAGAGCTGTTCATACTACTCATTTAACGTCTTTGCATTTCATTGCATGCAAATTATGCCTGAGTTAAAAATGTATTCTTCTTTTGACAGTTTTAGCAAAAATATTAGAAAATACACATTTCAGAGTATGCAAATGAGATAGGCATTTTTAAGTAACTCTTATGAAAATTCATACGTTTCCACATTTTCATCCAGAAATCATGTGTCAATGCTTGTTTAGCAAGTTCAGTAGTTAAATAAATATTGATCATTCTCCAGTTAGAAAAATTATATTCATCAAATGTCATTAATAAATACTAGAGATACACAATGCATACATTTGATATACTTATTATTTAACTAAACAATGCTTCTCCAATTAAATATTGGAAAATAACTGTAAATGTAATGAATACATGCTGAAATAAAAATAACACCTGTTCTTTTTGCATAAGTATTCAAAGTATTCTGGCAGAAATCCACATCGGAAAAGAAACTACTATTACTAATTAATGTCGGGAAATAATATTTATAAAGTAAATGTGATGATTGTACCTAGTCTTCATAAATGCTTACATGCACAATCTTCATTCAGTGGGAGTTTGAGGAAAGCAGGTGCTCTTTTTAAAAAAGACACTGTTAGGGTCACTTCTTCTCCAGCATTCCTAAGAACTTGAACCTACAATTAAAAAAAAGATTACAATATTACCAGTGTGTTCACAAAAGTTTTAGGGTTCCAAAATCTCGTCATGATGTGCTGCCTTTTCCACCTTTCACTATTCCCTGGTGGGCAGAAATATTTTATCAAAGACAGAGGGGAATTAATGATCTAACATTGCAGAAACACAGCCACCAATGTTCATCTTCTTTCTACCATTCTGTGGTCCCTTGTTCACTCACAGTATCATCATTGCCATTCATATTTACTGAGATTATCTTGAGCTTATGGTCTATATTAGACAAAAATGAACAATCACGAAATTTACAGTAAAATGTAGTGCTCAACCCACTATATTAATTAAGTTAAAAAATATTTATTGAGCATATATGCAACATTTGGAGATCTACAAATAAATGACCCTGTAGATGTTGCCCAGGGTGCTAATTTCATGTCAATAAAATGGCTCCAATTCACTCAAACTCTATACAAAATAAAAATAGGTATTATTTTCCCATTATATCATTGCACATTGTACTTTCCTTTCCCTGAATATTTAAAAGAATAATAACACTATTATTATCAATAACTCAACATTTTCCAAATCAATCTACCAGTTAAAATAATGGTACTTTCAAAAATTATT